CACTGTAGTATTTGAGCATCATGCCAGTGGAGCCTGCTCAGTCCTAACACATGTCATTATTTTGATGAGTTTCTTACCACTTAAGTATCTAAAGGAAAAATACTCACCATTTCCTCTAAGATTATTGTGGTTGCTTTTCACAAATGAATTTTGGGCAATAGTCACTAGTGAGTGTTGGCTATGTGTCAATTGAATCCTTAGAGATGTTTCAGCTAAATTGACAGTCTTCGTTCTGAGAATTCTCTTTTCCTCCAAATATAAATATTCTCTTTCACATATGAATATGTACCTGCTCTAGCTGTTCACTTTAATGACATTATCATATCAAGAGAAAAGACTCAGGTAGTGAACCACTGTGGTCATGACAGAGAGTCTGCTCTTTCTATGGCCACCAAGTATGTGTATGAAAATTTCTGGATCTCTAACATAGCAAAGGGGTTGGAAAAGTCCAAGTATGTACCAACAAATAAATAGTTACTTTGGACTACAGTCATGTTTATCCAATTACAGCTCCTTTCATAGTGACTTATTCTGAACATGCAGTCCCATAACAAACAAACAAATCTTAAAATATACACTAACTGGTCCTTTACAAAAAAGTTTGCAGAGCTAGAGGGAACTTTCGCTGCTGGCAGTAGTTTAAAAATATTAAAAACAAAGAAAATTTGTATTAGATAGCCATCATTTAGCTGAGAAGGTAATATTTCCACTCAACTCAGGCATTTATGACCATGATAATCTCCATGGCCACTAAAACTCCTTGAGGCATCTTCTGAATCAACAAAATTAAATTTCACTCCCAGTGTCTCTGTTGTACAGATTCATATTCTTAAACTTGAAAAGGCACTCAATATCACATTTTTAAAACTAGTGGAAGCTTACTTTATTCTCTCCTTTACATGTTGTCTTCCAGTCTCTAGTTAGGGACCAGTGAAAGCAGACAAGCATTTTCTCACATTATCCATCCCATCTGATGGCAGGTTGGCTGTCCCCCTGCTTCATTTTGTCCTCCCCACCCCCAATTCTGAATTAATATCTATTCCATTGCCTTCAGTTTCCCTACCGCAATATTTTGATGTGTAGCAAATTATAGCTGATACATATGCACTTTTTATTAGGCAAAGCAATGATTAAATGGAGCATTTCATCCCTCACTCTGATTCACTAGTGTGGATGAAGACAGCTTTAAGTGACAGGTACAGGTTTAGGAATAGAAAGCCTTTGCATTCCCTCTCCAGTCTCCCCACCAAACACTGGTGTGGCCACAGATAGATTACTCAGACATCTTTCTGTATTGATTTCTTCAGTTGTTAAACATGTAAAACTCTGAAAGATAAAGACAGGATCGACTCAAGGAGCTAACAGTAGCAGTTGGAAAACATGGGTATTTCAAATGTGCCACAGACAAACCTATAAATGCCAGAACATTCCAAAACCTAAATATAAGTTAGAGGCACCACCAAGGACCAGAAACATGTTAAGAGCTTGAGTTTATCCTTTTAAAGGGTTAATATAGCTGGGAAGTCTCTTTGTGGTGGAATACTTGCCTTACTGGGCACAAAAACAAAACTACCTACAAATCTAATTAAAACACTGGCATCACCTTATATATGCAACATGTATCCCAGGACAAAAAATGAATCTAGGTTTTCCAAATGCCTCTCTATGCAGAGCTAGGGAGCACAATGCTTGCTTTTCTCATGGAGATGCCAGGAGCAAGAAGTGAGAGCTGATACTATAAACACAACAAATTCAGCAAGAAAGATGCTCACATTTACAGTTCAGAGAATATGCAGAAGAAAAAACTGCCAGCCCAACAAACCAGCTTCTAACAGTGTCTGCCTCTGTTACATACAATTATCATGTCTTATAAGATGTGTCCATGAGTGTCAGGTTTTAGCTTGGTGATTCTATGTGGGTATCAGTTCTTCTTTTTATGGCGACATATTGGATCTCAGGCGATAAACACATCATGGATGAGCTCCATGCTCATGCTTCATGTAGCATGTTCTGAGCTACAGATGCTCAGGTCTGAGTTTCCAAGGAAACAAGGCAACATTCATCTATCTGCTCAAATGAACTGATGGATCACTTTCAGACCTCTTATAAGAATTTGATTCTGAATCAAATTCTACTGTGAAATCCCCCAAAAATACCAGGGTCTTGTGATTTCTCCCTAGCAACCCTTGTCACTGTAGAGGCTGTCAGGCAGGCAGGTATCAGGGTTACATGCCATTAATTTTATCTCTGTACTGCTGGTAAAAGTGGACACACTGCACTCCTATAACCCCCCATCTATCAGTAAAGCCACTCAGGGCCATGTACACTTGGTATATCTGGTGCCAACCTCACAGAAAAGGAGTACCATGATTTTCCTGACCTTAAAGTGGCTGTCAGCTAGCAGGCTCATACATCAGCCAAAGTAAAGAGTCATAGTACAACCTGCCTCCAACTACCATCAACATTCAATTACTTCATTATCTACATCTATTTCAAAATTATGTGGTGTATCCCTTGAATATATACAATGAATTAAGAAATGAACTCTTGTGCATAAGAGCATTTCTGAATGCTGTTAATACTAATATGAATATCAGAGTGCTTTGACCATTTGTCAGCATTTACCAATCACAGTACTTTAGATGTGTTACACTGTCAGATTCAACAAATGTTAAAATAGATGGTATTATGATGTTTGTTTTCTAGAAACTGAGACACTCAGAGATGTTTAATTTCCCCAAAGTTGCAGTTTGTCGATGATAAATGTGGGGTCCAGACCAGACCCCATTTTCTCAAACTGGAATCTTCTACTTTGTTCCATGTTTTTTCTTTAAGACTGTTTGTTCCACTTTTGTTTAAGTTTCAAATTGCTATGTCATTCATTTGCTCATGCATTTACTTATTTAGAAAATTATACTAGGTGCTTATGCTAAGCTCTGAGACTATAGAAACAGACAGTAGAGGCAAGGTCTCTCAGGGAGCTTTTGTTTGGGAGAAGAGACAAATAAATAAATAATAAGTAGACAGATATAAACAATGCAGCGGTTATAATAACATAATGCCAAAATAGGAAACAAATGCTTATGTGTAAGAATATTACATTAGAAAAGTGCTGGGGATAGTCAATATTCAGAAAGCGACAAGATGAAATGGGTGGACAGAGACAGATCATGATGTAATCAAGATCAATATGTAAATAATATAATCATTGATTACATTATTTCCTAAGTGGAGTGATAAGTCATTGATGAATTAAGTTTATTTTATTCATACCATCTTTATTCTTATAGTTAAGAAACTGTCCAGGCATGGTGGTGGTACACATATAATCTCAACAATGATAACACTAAAGTGAAAGAATTGTGAGCCAAGACTCTATCAAAAGAAAATGCTGAGAGAGAGAGATCCAATGATAGAACAGTCCATACAACGTCCAGCATCAATTAATTACACTTCTTATGTACACACTTATGTAGATGTATGCCATATGCCAATGTTCATGAAAAACTATCGTTTTTTTTTTTGTTTGTTTATTTGTTTTGTTTTTTGTTTTTGGGTTTTTGGGGGTATTTTTGGGGGGTTTCAAGTCAGGGTTTCTCTGTGTAGCTTTGTGCCTTTCCTGGAACTCACTTTGGAGACCAGGCTGGCCTCAAACTGTCAGAGATCCACCTGGCTCTGTCTCCCGAGTGCTGGAATTAAAAGCGTGCGCCACCACCACCCGGCAAAACTATTGATTTTTGAATAAGGAGAGTGTATATTGAAGTAAAAGAGCACTCTGAAAAACTCTTTTATGTATGTGTATGATGGAGCAAGAAGCATGGTGTAAGAGAAAGGACCTGGTGAACAGGCACCAGTCTAAAGCTGTTATCCATGAGCAAGCTTAAGAAGGGCCCTCTGGCCATGTTATCACACTTGGATCTCCTCTGAAGAATTCAGTCCACCTCTAATGACACTCCCCAGTGTACAGACTCAGATCAGGCCTTTCTTCTATATCACAACCGGGCACAATACTTTGTTTACCATTGTTTTTCCATAATATTTGTCTCAGGAGAGAGGGAATGCAGAGAGGAGAGAGAGGAGACGACTCTTAGTTGTAGGCTGACATCTTTATGTCTTGGTTTTTATCTTCTTGGCTGCTTGTTTATTCTCAGTACTATTCAACCCATCTTCCTGGGATAAAAAAAAATCTAACATGACACTTCCAAAAGATTAATATTTTCATTTCAACATTTCTGAAAGTATTTCAGTGAGATTGCTTCCAAATGGTTTATTTTATATTAGATCATTGAGAGATAGATTAACGTCATAAACGTACATATGAGCAAGCAATATTTTTTCTCCTGTGTGCACATACTATATATTTCAAATTCTTTGATAATATAAAATCACTAATTTAAGTCCAATTAGGGAAAGGGCAGTGTAATAATTGCTGTGTTTCCAGCTCCCTCTTGATAACAAATGAGACTTGCTTCCCCTCTTCCAGTAGATAATATTGTGCTTTTTCTTTGGCTAAGGTATATTAGCACTGCTCTACATGAGCAAAAATATTTTTAGTGGCTGTGTTATTACTGAAAAACACATTGGGAAAATGCAAAAAATATTTCACCTTTATGTTGTAGAAAATAAACACAGTAGATTAAATAAAAAATTTTTACAACTTTTGACATGTGCCATATGTAATGTTTGGTAAACATCTAAGAAAGAAGAGGTTTGAACTTTGTCCTGGGTTGGTTTTTTGGTCCACTTTACACAAGCTACAATTATCAGGGAAGAATAACCTCAGTTGAGGAAGTGTCTCATCAGATTGGCCATTTTCTTTACTGGTGGTTGGTGTGGGAGGACCTGGTTCACTGTGTACAGTGTCACCCGTAGGCAGGTGGTCCTTCATTGTATAAGAAAATAGGCTGACCAAACCAAGAGGAGCAAGCCAGTAAACAGCACCCCTCTATGACCTCTGCTTTAGTTCCAGATTCCAGATTCCTGCCTTGACTTCCTACCTTGAATTCCCTTCATGATAGACTATAAGGTATATGATGAAAACTTGCTTTTATTCATGGTGTCTGATTACAATAGAAAGCAAACTAAGGTAAGTGTCTTCTGAGAATCAGACTCCAGAACTTAGGAGGACATTAGTTATTGGCCAACATCCCAGCAACATGAGGAAAGGAAACCTAATACAGAATTTACTACAGAACCCAGACTTGAAGCATCCCCGTGCTCCAGCCATTACTGAGCACTGCCTCAGATGGTCCATTATCACACAGGGAGTCAGCTTGGTAAGGAAGGGCATGTTGCTGGTGTCAGACTTCATGGAGTTCAAATCTTACACTCAACACTGACTTCCCCAGTGAGCTTTAATAACATACTATAACCTTGTGAGCCTGATCTTCTCTCATTAAAAAGAATTTTAATGATATCAATCAATTCATAAATGAAGCAGTCACTCTAAAATATTGGAACATAGGAGGAGACAAGCAAGTGTCATTTATTGTGACTGCTATTATTAGTACTGTCATTCAACTTTGTTATCACTTTAAATCACCTGTTGGATAAAATTGGAATTCTAAACATTTATACATGGCCTAAAAATCTGATCAGAAACTATCTTAATTATCTGACTTTAGTAAGTGCATTACAAAGACAATATACTGTAGAAAGTGAACAAGAAGTACCCATTCCACAGAAACTGGAGAACTTATTGGGTTGGGGTAGAGATCATTAAGAACTGTAAAATAGGCTGGGGGGGGGTGGCGGCAGCGCATGCCTGTAATCCCAGCACTCAGGAGGCAGAACCAGGCAGATGTCTGTGAGTTGGAGGCCAGCCTGGTCTACAGCATGAGATCCAGGACTGGCACCAAAATATAAGATAGGGGGTGCATGATATGAAAGAAATGACAAAGAGGGGCTTTGGGAGCTATATTGGAGATGGGAACACAGCTAAGGAGCACAAGGAAGGCTTTATGGAAGAGACAGTGTTTGCTTTCAACCTTGAAGGCTGTAGAAGGAACGTGACCAGCTGCACAGTCTCTATTTTCCAGGCAATTCTATGTGGTCAAAGGTTGTGTAGAAACTCATATTCTTCACAGAGGAGAGGGTACTGGAACATGTTAGAGAGAGCACATGGTGTGGAGTCACCATGTAGGAGATGGGAAGACTAGAGGTAAGGAAAAGGATGGGCTGAAAGTGAAGGTCTGACCTGAAGGATGTGGCTGCTGGATGAAGATGGTAGAGCCCAGCCTAGCTCTGCCTCTTCAGAGCCATTCCCTGTGGACAAATCACATATGGCCACAGGGTAGCTGAGGGAACTCAGTGAGTTCCCACACTGAGGTGAATCTGGAATATGGATCTCAGTAATTGTTAGCTACTGACACCATCATCGGCAATATGACCCTGATAGATATGTAGATACCATGTGGATGCTTGAAGATCTGTAGGAAAAATAGCTATCTAAGGATGCACTGTGGGTGAGGTACTACTTTTTGAAAGTAACTTTGATAGATTGTTAAGTAATTTGATGTCAAAATTTATACAACTTAATCATCACCAAATAAGGAAATTTTTGTTATAGAAAAGAAAGGGGTATCAATTTGCCAGGTCGATTAAGGTTCTTCATTACATTCCAGCACATGTCCTAGGGACAAATTCATTTTGATGACATGGTATATGTATTCTAGTTGAAGAAATTGCAAAGTGTTGCTTTTTAGAACATGAGAGTCTATAACCTGAACAATGTCTGCTTTCTACTTCATGTCTTCCTGTTTAGAATGATTGGTCCCCAACTCTGCTGATAGAACCCTTGGGATTTCTTATCTCTTAATTAACACTATTTCTTGTTCCTCTCAACACTTTATTCATTTCTTAAATATGCACGGTTGCATTCCATCTTTGATATTATACTACTATTTCTAATGCTGGGTTATAATTAAAATTTAGGGTTTTTCTTAGTCACTTTCCAACTCTCCTGTGTTTTAGTTTATTACTTCCAAGTTAGAACTGCCCAACTAATATCTATAGCATAAATGTAGCCAATGAGCAGTCTACTGGGAAAAATAAATACCATTAGGATATTCGATCAGCATTTGCTCAAGCATCTTAAACATTTTAGTATACTGTGTGCTGTATAATGTCCCTGTCCAGCTGCTAATTAGTCACTTTCCTAAATACTGCTACAGACCCTCAGGAAGTTGTTGTAACTGTTTCTTGGTAAGAGATTTTGTTTTGAGCTTTTACCCAATAGTCTTGGGTCACATAGTATTTAAATAACTAGGGAAATGATTATTCATTCCCCCAAACTTTTAATGGGTCCCTGACATCTTTTATTGTTCTTTTTTCTAAGATTTTTATTGATTCTTTGAGAATTTCATACAACGTTTTGATCATATGCATCTCCTCCCAGTTCCTCACAGATTCTCTTCCTCCTCCTCCTCCCTACCGTCCTCCACTCTGCGTCTTTTATTGGTTAAGACACTATCTCTTGCAGCAGACTTCACTGTCCTCTGGCTCCTGCCGTCTTCTCTGGCCCCTCTTCTGCAGTGTTCCCTGAGCCTTGAGTGTTGGTCTTAGGTTGCAGATGTATCACACAAGGCTGGGCATCTGGCAGTCAGTTGTCTGCGTTTTGACCAGCTGTGGCTTTCTGCAACAGTCTCCGTCTACTGTAGAGAGAAGATCATTTGATGTGTGTGTGGGGGGCGATAAGTGTACTCTACCCATTCCCCATGTTTTTAAGTTTTATTTACCCAGACTGGGGGTGGGAAGTTCAAACTTACATTTTTCTACCTGCTTTCAACTGTACACTGATGATCCATGATTTATCAGAAAATCTTTAAGCTGGGATGTAAAAGTGACACTATCAATTCAACCACAAGCAGGATTGCTTTAGTGACAAACAATGACCATTTTTAGAGGCCAGTCAAGAAGAAAGAAGTAAGGCTGGCCCTGGATTGACTACCACAAATTGTGCTGTTCAAAATAGTCAAAGTGTGTATTTTATCTACATAATCAAATATTAGTTGCTCATTGCCCTCTGATTTTATAGGCATCCAGGTCCAAATAATTGTTGTATTATTTGATTTAGAGATTTAATTATAAGTTCTTTAAAATATACCATCTAAGGATACAATTTGAGAAGTCAGTTTTTTTATTCTTTGAACATCTCATACATGTATACAATGTACTTTGGTCATGGCCAACTTCTAATCTCTCCCTCCAACTCCCTCCAGATCCCCAGCATAACCTGCTCTCAACTTCATGACCTCTTTCTTTCTTTAAATCCACCATGTCCTGTTAGCACTCACCATCTGTGCAGAGGTGTGGACTCATTCAGTGGAATATGGACAACCTACCAGTAGCCACTCCGCAAAGAAAAGTGACTGCTAAGATGGGTGGGACTTCATGAGCCTCTACCAACCCTATACAGGATTTTTATAAAATTATTTTTGCTTTTATTTATGCATTTCATGCATGTGTGTGAGAGTGTATACTTCCCCAAAGAAGCAAGAAGAGAGTTTGGATGCTCTAGAACTGGAATTACAGACGGTTATAAGCCACTCAATATGGGTCCTGGGAACTGAACTCAAGTAGAAAAGCAGCAAGCGCTATTAATGGACTAGCCATCTCTCCAGCCCCCATTCTGAAATTGTTTTTCTTTTAAAGATTTATTTTATGTTTAGTATGTGTGTGTGTGTGTGTGTGTGTGTGTGTGTGTGTGTGTGTGTAGGATTGTGTATGCTATATGCATGCAGAGGCCAAAGGGGATCTGGAGCTACAGGCAGTTGTTAGCCATCTGATGTGGGTGCTGAGAATTAAATCTAGGTCTTCTGGAAGAGCAATACATGCTCTTAATTCTTGAGCTATCTTTCCAGTCCCTGTGTTGGAATTTTTAGCTGGCTTGATCTTGTGAAGATTTTGTATAGACAACCACAGCTGCTGTGAGTTCCTATGTGCAGTAGCTATGTAAAATCCAGAAGGCATTTCACAGCCATCCTCTCCATCTTCCAGCTCTCACATACTTCAGCAATGTTTCCTAAGCCTTGGAGAGGGGCCTGACATGGACGCCCCATCTACAGCCACCTTAATGTTTTGCTTTTGTTTCTGGGAAGATCTCATAGAGATACAGGTTTTTGGAAATCAGTACATTTCTTGCTGGTGGTTCTTGCCAGGTTCAGCTAGCCAAATTTGTGGAGTGATTTTTACAAGAAATTTCTTCTTTACCTTTTCCATTTACACTCGGATCAAGCTAAGTTGTTTATTTCACTATTGCAGAGTGATCTTTTATCTTTTGTGATAATGAGATTTATCAATGAAAGTTGAAAGTGAGTTTTTGTTTTGTTTTTCCTGGCAATGCAGCTGATTGAACTCCTAGCCTCCCATATGCTGCCCAAGCGCTCTGCCACCGTGTGACATATCCAGCCCCAATCATTGGCTCTTTCTTTGAAATTCCCACAGCAGCTCTTTAAATATGCCCTGTAAATTTTTATGTTTCTTCTAATAAAACACATGATGTGCTCTCTTTTCTAGACATGTTACTCGTTCTGATATTAGAAAGCTCCGTTTCAAAGTCAAAACTTATGAGAAGTAACAGTAATTTCCTATGACCTGATAGGACCAAAGAGGTGAGTGAGTGCTAGTGTAGATCTTGTAAATTAAAAACAACATTTTATAATCTCAGCAAGATGTAATGGGTAGTCAGAGTAATGAAGCTATCCCAGGCATGATGATTAATCTCTGTGTGTCACAACCCGACAGCTGCAGTTTAAATGAACTGCAATCTACATAATGCATTCTCAAGAATATCAGACAGGAAGTTGCATCCATCTACAGTGCAAATGGTAAGAACGCAAGCAGAAGAGTGCTCAGCTCTGGCCTAAGAGAGCAGAGGTCCAGGTTGAGCAATAAAAGGACAGCCAGATACTGTGGCTATCAACTGGCTCCAGTTTATCACAACAGAGTGCTACATTAGCCCTTATATGACTCAACTAAGTAGCTGTTGACAGAGTATTTCATAAAGGAAATGATGAAACAGAGTGAAACCTTACAGAAGGAGATAGGAATATAAAGGCCACTTGGGTATGAGATACTTCCCAGGTATGTTTGGGGCCAACTGATTGATCTCTGTCAAGTTCAAGAACATAGTTGATGCTGAGAACAGTGAATGATAAAAATGTCAAGGTTGCTCCATGAGTCATCACTTTAGCAACCCTCTCTTAGAAAGGCCAACAAGGGCCTTTGTGACTAATCAGTGGTGTTATTGGCAAAGAATCCCATCACACGGGTATACAGTATTCCGGGGCAAACTGGTTTGAGAGTTGTAGAATGCATTAAAAAATTAACGTGGGTCTGTCTCAGGTGAAAATTAATAAGAAAAGCCTTATACCGGTAATTTGTCTGAAAGTTCTGACCTGGTCTAGTTTACATGGCGTCAAGAACCAGAACACACTAGAAAACAAGGGACAGGGAAGTTAGTCCATGGCACTGCCAATATCAGTCTTGGGACCTACTTTCCCGGAGCTGTAGTTACCTGTAAAAGAAAAACACTGGAGCAGAGAACTCCCAAGCATGGTTGAACAAGAGACTTTGTCACAAAGACTGGTAGAACCTTACTGTAGTGTGTGACAACCATTTTGATAAACACATCTGAAAATGGTACGTGTTGCCTACCTGAGCTAACACACTTTTGTTTTCTCAGTACATGCAACAACAAAAATCACCCAGAGTTCCAGCCTCGTAGCCAGATATTGAAGATGCGCTTGATAGGCAACCACAGCTTTCCCACAGACAGGATGGATAATTTGCTCGCATTTGCACAGCTCATTGGTTTTGGAGCCGGGATTCACAGATGGGCTGTGAGCTGTAGGACACACACCCATTACAGGTCTTTCGTCTCTAAACATTGTGGAGAGGACAGGTGGGAGAAACCAGATGCAAGTCCTTGCATGGAACACCCTCTTCAAGACAGCAGGATTAAGGGGTACCCATCCCAATGAGGAATTGTAGACCTCTGCTTTTGAGGTTACCCAGAAGCTGTTCAAGCCCATGTCCTTGGTATAAATATGTTTTCACATGAGAGGCCTCCCTTTCTTCCAGAGCCATATTGTCTGCAAGCCCACTCAGCCCTAGACATGGTCCCTTCTGTCCCCTTCAAGCATTCATGGTCCATGGCAGCAAACACATTCTAGCCTTTTGTTTCAGTTCCTTCAAGGGTCCCCACTGTCTCTCCCAGCCAAAGCTGGCTGGGCGAAGGAAGTGTGAATTGTATATGGTTAGTCCGACTCCTCATGTCCAGTCGGGAATGTCTACATTTTGTCCCTTTTCGTTTCTGACTATTTCACCCCAAAGAGCCAGGACACCAGGGATCATAATCCTGACCAAAGGCCCCTCCCTAAAGTGCTAATTCACTCTTCTGCCTTACAGTCTGAGGTCACTCCTCAAGCGTGTCAGCTGCTCTTCAAGCTGGCTGAGGTATATGTCATTATAGACTCGGCTTAAAAGCCCCAAGGACTTCTCACTCTGCCCTGGGTGTCAGAAGTAAAGAGTCTCCATGGGTTTTATCCTCTGACCCAGGCAGCCCAGCCCCTCTGCAGCCCCACACATCCTCTGGACAGCAGGCTGTCTATGTTTCAGACACTCTAAGGAGATGCTCCAATGCTTATGGCAAAGATGACATACTTTTCTTGATGCTCATCTTACTAAATTAAAAACATTAAACATAAGTGTCTCTTGAGGTGATTTTCCCCTTCAAAAATTATTTCTCTGAATTAAAATGTGTTTATACGGTTTCAGATAAGAATCAAGCAATCTTTTCCCCCTTTTTTTCACCTGCCAGTAGATGTCTGAGTGCACAGAAAGGCTTGTTGTCTGCAGGTCCCCAGGGTTACCCGTGTAATTCTTTTTCCTCTGGGGTACTCAAGCACAGAATTGCCTGCAATCAATTTGCTTTCACATCCTGGCACTAAACTCACTGTATATAAAAGTATCACAAGTATTTTCAATATAATTCTAAGTAGCAGTGATTTAAAAGGCTTTTTAGTGTAATGAAAAAAATTACAAGGCATAGTAACAGCTGTACAGCTTATTTGAATGAATCCAATCAAAAACATATAAGACTCTCCATAAACCTCAAAATGGATAAAAATGACTTAAAATTAAGAAGGGGAATTGATAGGAGTGGTTTTGATGTCTGAAAAGTGAAGCAATTTTCTGGAACAGTATTTTGACCCTCTGGCTTCTAAAAATATAGAATAAGTCATAATTTAACTTACTGCTATGAGAAAGAAGAGGTGTTGCAGTGAGGTAGCTCTAGGTAAAAAAAATAAAGGTATTGATATCATGATCATCTTTAAGTATATAACTGTTTTGTAGAGTTGAAACTAAAAGACTTCTGATAACATATGCATCACTAGTTGTCAGCAATGGGGATTATATCTACTGTTGCTGTTTGATCATAAGGCGAGAAGCATGACATAGGCAGGCACAGTGTGTGCTGCTCAAAACAACAGCCCTTAAGACCCAAGCACAAACAGTGCCTCTCAATCCGAATGTAGGTAGATATAATGCGAATATATTATTATCACTATCTAACATTACCAACACCAAGTGGATCTTCCCTAAATATGCATTGAATAAATGAAGGAAGAAAGAATAAATTCATAGACTCTCATTTTTCCACACCATTTTAATTGAGTCTTCCTTACTTTTGTATTTAAGAGAAATAAAGAGAGCAAATCAGAAAATTATGCAGTCACAATCAGTGGCTTGATAGATTTTTTGGAGAGAATTAGTGTCCCTATGACTAATCCATTTCTTTGTCTTTTGCTTCAAATCTCTCTGTGCACTTATGAAAAGCAGAGCCACCTGCCAGTTCCACGTTGTGAAATCTCAAGAGCAGAAAGAAGCTGAAGTGAGTTCATTTTACTTATACAAGGGGGAGAAAAACAAGTTGCCAGATAAAATACAGGAAGGCCAATTAAACTAAATATCAGATAAACCATAAGAAATATTTCAAAATAACTGCATCATAAATACCGTGTGACACATACTAATACTGAAATTTATTTGTCTGCCTCACTGATCTAACTAGGCATCATATATATACCTTTATCTGCTAAATGTGGCAACACTGAAGTAAAGCAAATGTTTTAAGTGCCAGGTGTTTCTATGCAGACGCTGGTACAGTAGAAGAGCCCTTGGTTAAGAGGCAATTGCACAATTATCTTGATGCATCACTGTCCAAAAAGAAACAACATGCCACAGTTCACTAAAATCATATTTTCCAAGAGCATAACTTCAGTGAAGCGGTTTGTTGAATGCTTCTAAAGACAGAATGCTGCAGGTAGATGGAGGAAAGTTCTGAAGAGAAGGAAGCAAACCAGGATGCTCCCCAAGAAGCTGAATTAATGGTTTACACAACAATCCCTTTTGGGAAGACTGTCTCTGCATGTTTCTACAGACATACTCAGATCAACAAAAGATAAAACGACTTCTCAAAAGGTTAGCGTTCGGGTAAAATGCCAAGTGTGTTCTTAAACTGTGAAAGAAATGCAATACTTAGAAAGGCAGCAGATTGACTGAAAGATTATTAATATTTATTATATACCAGTAAGAAGCAGAGGCTGTAGGAACCTGCAGGCCAGGTCTCCATGGCTTAAGAAAGAAGTGTCTTGAAAGACTTGAAACTTTGGGAGATGAGGTTTTAAAAGGATAGAATGGCATATATTGTTGCCAATCAGAAGGTTGAAATGTTTGTCCCATGTAGTCTGACAATGTACACAGATGACAGATTTTGAGAACATGCAAAACTCATAATCTGTAAATTGAAACTGAGCATTTTCCTCCTGATTCAAGGGCCTCCTTTATGTCCAGCTATCAAGCAAGGTTCTATGGAAAAAAGTCCATTTCTGAGTGTTCAGAGCATCAGATCTGGCAGGAGTAGCTAGGAGACATTTTGAAAAGACACAAACACCAAATTTTATCCAAAACCCCAGAATAAGCTCTTTCCTTCCAATACAGTGCCAGACAGTCACCAGCATTTCAAAGATCTCTGCAGCCTTGTCTGTTACAAATAGAACTAAGCAGAGGACAGGGGAAAGTAGCATGTCTTACACCACCAGAGACCAAAACTCTACTTGGTGTTAAAAACATTCTGTTTGTTTTTGTTCCAAGGATAGCGCCAAATGGGTGGCATTATTTTTCTCATTTTATCAATCGTAAACAACTGGAGTCTAAGAGAATTTAAATAATTACACAAGAATAAGAATCTAACGCAGGCTGGGAAGGCAGCCCAGTGGGTAAGAGCTTCCCACTTTACAAGCATCAAGACCTGAATTTGGATCTTGGCACCGAAGTAAAAGCATGGTTGTGGCCCCATGTGCATCTTATCCCAGTCAGTAGGCAACAGTGATAGAAGAATGCCTAGGACTTCCTGAGCAGTCAAACCGAAACACTGCACTCACTCCAAGTCCAGTGAGAGATCCAATCTCAAAAAATTAGGCAGAGTAGTTGAATGGTACATTACACGTTCGATACCAAAATTAAAAGCAGTAAGTATATTGCAAAGGTTAGAATTCTCCTGAAAGCTATATCCAAATAAAAGAAACCATAAAATAGAATGTTGGGGTCATAGCACAAAATAAAATTCGAATCAAAGAAAGACTGAAGAAGCTCTGCTTCCAGCCCTGTAACACAGATTAAAATCACCTCCCCTCCTTCCTCGCTGTGTGATTTTGGCAACCTTCATCGACCCTCTGTGCCAGTCTACTCCTCTAGAGAATAGACGTAGTCATGGAACCTGCCTCATTAAATGTTATACTCCATGTGACCCGCTAGATAAACAGCCTGGCACAAAACAAAAGCCAATAAATATCAGCTCTTATTTTTATTACTGTTGCCATGAGTTATTAAATGGATATACAGAGCAAAATGAGAGCTTTGTATCCGCCTCTGCATTTTTCCAAGTTAATATTCCTGGACACTATAAACTCCAAATGTTTTCTCCTAAGTAGACATTTAAAATGCCCTGACAGGAGTTGCCTTTTTTGTCCATTTGTTTGCTGTTTTGCTTTTTTAAGCAGGTGCTCACTTTGTGGCCCGTGATGCCTTTAAACTATAGCAATTCTCTTACCTTAGTTCCCTGAATGTTGGGGTCACAGGCATGGGGAACCACACCTGGATAGCTGTCTAACCCATTTTTCTCGGTTGAAGCACAGAAGTCAATACCAGGCTCATCCCAATTGTACTATTGTATTGAACGCGGTCTGACATCAGAGAAATGATCAGACTTGAGGAAAGAAGTGACAAGAAAGGAATCACAGTCAGCTGGGGAGGCTTACACCTGTGTTTCTAATACTGAAGGAGCTGAGGCAGAAGAACTATGAGTTCAAAGCCAGCATGAGCTACACAGCAAGATGCAGCCTCAATAGTAACAATAACAATAGCAATGGTGATGATGATGATCATCATCATAGAAGAAGAAGGAGGAGGATGCTAGAGAGAAGAAAAATGGAAAAAAGACAAAAAACTTCCCACTGAAAATTGCTACAACCATATGGAGGTGTGAACAGTGAACAATACCCAAGGTGTATCAATGTTATTCTGAAGCAAAATTGACTACTATTAGAATACATGAACTCATTTATGTGTGTTCATGTGCTATGGTTTTTTTTTGTTTTTTTTTTTTTTTTTTTTTTTTTTTTTTTTGTGTGTGTGTGTGTGTGTGTGTGTTTAGGAAGAAATGATGCAGTCTGTTGAGGTATGGAAACATTATATTGCCTAAGCTTGGGTATTTCAACTCCCAATTATAGTTGGGTGGGTTTTCTTGGCCTAGGGGCAGGTGCTGATGAGACCTGGTACAGCTCAGGACAGAACATCCACTTTCCTTCAGTGTGGAAAATGAAGCAGGCGAATCCCACTGAATGACACCAAGCTCCAGACCTAGGCTGGCCGCATTGTTTTCATTCTACAGAAATTTACAGGCTATTTCCTTACTCTTCCCCTGAGCTAGGATATGGAGATTAAAATGTACCTACTGAGCAGGTAATGCATTTGATATTAAGGATCCATCATGTGCATATGTCTTTGGAGCATAATGGTTCCTTTGGAGCTATTATTGGTATGCTGTGAGTAGATATTAGGAATAATACTCACAGAGTGGTTGAAGGAGATCACGTATTAAGTACTGTCAGACTTTAACATTATTCAAAACTAGGCTTTTTCCTTTTGTAATTCCTGGGGTTTAATGCCTCTATACTTTGTAAACTGAGCACTTTTCAAAGAGAACTCTGAATTCCTATGGAGCTTTCTTTAGGTGAGCTTTGATCTTTGCAGAACACCTATCTTGTGTCTCTGTAATTGCGCTGGTTTAACAAGGCTCTGTAGCACGTGGAGGGGAAAATCCTTTTATTAAGGCTATAAACCTAACTGACCACAGTGATGGAATGCACAGCTTGGGGGTAGCCTTGAGCTCCCCAGGAAAGAAAAAAAAAAGGAGGACCAGGGAAGTCTTCATGTTAAAACAAAATGAAATATTTATTAAATGTGTTTCTGGTGTCGCAGGTGGTCAGAGTCTGCCCTGTAGTCCGATGAAAGGTTTGATCTTTGCTAAGCATTGTGAATGCTGATTTCAACAATGGGGTAAAAGCTGAGGAAGTTATGCTGTATTTTTAGCTAAAGATGACAGCTCAGGGTTTCAAGTTGCACAAAGCAGTCTGAGGAATTAAACTGACGAAGGCTGCTTAAAAGTATTGAGTTTCGAAAAGTGTGATCTTCCAATAAGGGGATTCCTCATTTTCTCCGACTTAACCATATTAATCTTACTTTACAAATACATGTGGTGGTTTGTATCATGTTTAATTAACTGATGGAGGGCTCCAGTGGTAAAAAATGGCATCCCGCTAAGCTCTGTCCGTATGGCAAATTCGAATCACATCCTTAGCCTCGCAAGAACAAAATATCCCAGGAGTCACTGATGACAGGATGTAGGAATTGAAATCAGGCCCCTCCTGTTGTTTGAGAATCCGTGGAGGGTGCCTGCCATATGCCCATCACCGCCAGTGGCTGGGGGAGGGTTGGAAAATGACGGGATAAAAGAAAGGAAGGCTCTAGTTCCCCCAACATGTTCAAGTCTCAGATGAAAACGATGCATGGTGGTGCTGTACAGAGGCCAACATTCACATGAAAGTGTGTCTCAAACTTCTCAGCATAATGAAAGGACTTTGCGGTGTGTCTGATACGCGTACCCTTTGTTTCCTTTGTGGAAAAGTCTGCTCAAGGGGTTTGCGAATGGATAGGTGAAAATGCTCTGGTTTTGAGTTCAATATAATACACAGAAGAATGTGTCAGGAAGTCTTTCTTAATAAAATGGGTTTTTAATAAAACTGGGTTTGACCACTAAAAACTATACACTTGGATAAGATCTTCCGAACTGACATTTTTGGGAGTGGGAGTTGTCTAACTTCTCTCAAAAGTCTGTAGTAACTGTGATGTTTGAGGGAAAAAAAATGTAAATTGATCCCTAATTTCCTGAATGAAAAAAATTTTAAATGTGTTTTAATTATCTTAGTACAATAACAGGTGCTTGAAAATAGGTACAAAATCAGTTTCGGTCATTAATATGATGACAAATTGACTTTTGCATGCTCTTAAAATTATTTTTCATGTCACAAAATTATTGTAATTATGTTACAACTGAATCTTATATTCAGATTTTTCCCCCTACATTTGATGGCATAATTTTGTTTTGTTTTGTTTTGTTTGAGACATGGTTTCTCTGTATAGCCTTAGCTGTCCTGGAACTCACTTTGTAGACCAGGCTGGCCTCAAACTCAGAGATCCACCAGCCTCTGCCTCCCGAGTGCTGGGATTAAAGGTGTGTACCACCATCACCTGGCTGACAGCATAATTTTT